AGGACGCAGGTTGTCCCGGTGGCCATGTTTAGGGAAGGACTTGGAGACTGCGCGTGGCAGAGCAGAGCATGGCAGAGCAGCTGTGTGGCTGGAATGGTGGAAATGCCACATGTGGCACAGATGGGTGGTGACAAGAGGCTGGCGAGCGGCAGCCACAGCTTCTCTTTGCTCTGGAGCTTTCGCTGAGGGGCGGTGAACAGGTGGCTTGAGTGGCTTCGGGAGGGCTCCTGGTCGGCTGAGGAAAATACTTGCGTGGGTCTTTTCCTGGGGTCAGGTGACAGGGACGCGCTAGGGCAGCGCCTGGGAACAGCATTTCTGCTGCTCGCTGCTCTTCCTCCTCCCCCATTTTTCGCATCCAGTTTCAGGGCAGAGCTGTGCCCGGGGCAGGCTTTGCCAGGCAGCAGGAGACAACTTGTTTGAATTCTGGTTTACCTTTGTCTGGTGTGTCTGCCCTTTCAGAACTGAAAGGCTAGCCAGGGGATGGGTGGCTCACGCCTGTAATCCTAGCTACTCGGGAGGCTGAGATCTGAGGATCATGGTTCCTAACCAACCTGGGAAGGCAAGTCCATGTGACTCTTACCACCAATTAACCACCAAAAGACCAGAAGTGGAGATTTGGCTCAAATGGTGAGCCTCCAGCCTTGAGCAAAAAAGCTTAGGGACAGCCCCTACCCTGAGCTCAAGCCTTGGTCTTGCTGCCCCGAAAAAAAAAAAAAAAGTTAAAGGAGAGGCTGGAGGTAAGTTGGAATTGACTTTGGTATCGGCAGTGGCCCACAGCCTGGCTCAGGGACTTCCCAGATGGATTGGGAAGCCAGCCCTCAGTTCTAGGGCAGCTGCTACTGGTGCCTTCTGGGGACCAAGCTATGACCTTGCAGAGATGAGGGTCACGGGCTGGCAGTGGGAGGATGCCAGAACGCCACACGGGTCCCCCCATGCCTGCCCGCCCCTCCATCCGCAGTCCATTTCCGCTACGTGGTGTTCCACCCGTTCCTGGATGAGATTCTGATTGGGAAGATCAAGGGCTGCAGCCCAGAGGGCGTGCACGGTAAGTGACCCTTCAGGGGAACCTCTGGCGCGGGGTCAGGCGGTCTTGCTGTCCACCAGGGAAGGCTGGGTCTCAACAAGGTGCCCAGCTCGAGTCTGAGCAAGTGGCCCCCAGCCCCCTCCTGCCTTGGTGTATGCAGTGTCCATCAAACATCTGGGGCCCGTGTGCCCAGGGCTTTGCCCAGCACTGCTCACGCCTGGTGTATGGGGCTCTGAGGGGGGGAAGGCGCTGTCTGGGTGGCACTGGAGGGGTTGCTTGAGTGTCCAGATTTCCTCCTTTGTCTGTCCGTCCCCTGCTGTCACCTTCTTCATTTCTCCCAGTCTCTCTAGGGTTCTTCGATGATATTCTCATCCCCCCAGAATCGCTGCAGCAGCCCGCCAAGTTGTATCCTCCCAAGGAAAAGTGGGTCCCTGGCCTGCCCGCTGGCTCCCTCCCTCGGGTAGCATGTGTGCTAGCCCTGGCCTGCGCACTGGCTCCCTCCCTCGGGCAGCATGTGTGCTAGCCCTGGCCTGTGCCCGGCTTCAGGGTGTGCTGCCATCCACTCCCCAGTCACTTCGCTCAGCTTTCTCCATGGGAGTGGCTCAAGATCTCGTTCCCCAGGAGGCTAACCCTGGCTGGCTCACCCCTACTTCCCTGGGGGTGTAACCTGTGTTCCCCTCACAGAACACGCTCTCCAGCTCAGGTACCTGGACTGGACTGCCCCCAGCCCAGCCCTCACCTTGCCTACTGAGAGCCCTCACTGAAGAGACCTCATCCTGTCACAAGTGTCCTCCCAGTGCCCAGCAGGGGTCTGGCACAGAGGAGGCAGAGTCCAGTGGCAGCAATGCCACTAGAGGGCAGTGTGGATCCTTGGTGGGGCTTCTGGCATAGGACTTGGGGGAAGTCAGTGGGGGCCCTACCTGGCTGAGCCGCCACTGGTCAGGCTTGGGGAGAGCAGGGCCTGCGTGTGTGTGTGTGTGTGTGTGTGTGTGTGCAGGGTTGTGAGTGGAATTTGGCAGGTCTGGCCCAGCCTGCGTGCGTGTGTGTGTGTATGTGCGCGTGTGCATGCGCGTGCGTGCAGGGTTGTATGTGAGTGGAATTTGGCCCAGCCTGCTTGTGTGTGTGTGTGTGTGTGTGTGTGTGTGTGTGTGTCCGTGTGTGTCCGTCCGTCCGTCCGTCCGTCCTGCTCCCCTGTAATCTTTTGAGAACCGGACTTGTTGCTGTTTCTGGGATTTGAACTCAGGGCTTTGCACTCTGAGCAGGTGCTCTAACACTTAAGCCATGCCTTTATCCCTGGGAAAGTCTCTGAGCTGCCTGCCTGCCAGATTTGTCAGGTTGGGGGAAGGTGTATGCACCTCAGTCGTTTCTCGTTTTTTTGTCGGTCATGGGGCTTGAACTCTGGGCCTGGGCGCTGTCCCTCAGCTCTTCAGCTCAAGGCGAGCGCTCTACCACTTGAGCTATAGCGCCACTTCCGGTTTTCTGGTGGTTTATTGGGAGATAGGAGACTCACGGTCTCTCCTGCCCAGGCTGGCTTTGAACCGCGATCCTCAGATCTCAGCCTCCTGAGTAGCTAGGATTACAGGCATGAGCCACCAGCGCCCGGCTTCGTTTCTCATTTTTGAAGCGGCATTGGCCCGAGGTCTTATCCTGGCAGAGACGGGCCCTCCCTGTGGGGCCAGGGCCTGCTTTCCACGTGACCGCCTGGGGTTGGGTACTTGAGACGCCTCCCGTCCCCTTTCCTCTCCCGAGGCTTGCTTATGGCCTTGACCCTGGGCACCAGCGATGAAGCAGAGCAGGTCTGGGTGTGGGAGTATGAGACGGAGGAAGGAGCGCATGACCTGTACATGGACACGGGGGAGGAGATCCGCTTCCGGGTGGTGGATGAGAGCTTTGTGGACACGTCCCCCACGGGCCCCAGCTCGGCCGAGGCCACGTCATCCAGTGAGGAACCACCCAAGAAGGAGGCTCCCTACACACTTGTGGTGAGACGGAGCGCTGGGTGTGGGGGTGCGGGGACGGGCTGCCTCCTGTCACTTCTCGCCCGCGAGCCTGCCCATTTCCGCATAGTGGGAGCGCAAGGGAACAGCGGCCATGATGGTGGAGACGGCCCCCCGCCCCCAAGAGGCGCAGCTCCAGTGCTGGATGGGGAGGCGCAGCTCCAGTGCTGGATGGGGAGGCGCAGCTCCAGTGCTGGATGGGGAGGCGCAGGGTGGCCTGGGTGAGATCAAAGCTGACTGAGGAGGCCTCCCAAAGAGCCTCCCCGTGGGCTGTCCCTGCACGTGTGCCTGGTGGCCGCACTCACGCAGCTAGCTGTGGCGGCAGGAGCGCAGAGCTGGGGGAAGGGCGGTCTCAGTGCCCATCTGCCCCAGTGTGCTAGCCAGGAGCCATGGTGCGGCCCCCAATCGTGTCGTGGCTGCTGTGTGCGCCCCCGCTCCACTCTGCCAGTACTGCTGGGTATGATCCTTGTTGGCCTCAGGCCTGAGTGACTTTTAAACTCCCTGCGCCTTCTCTCTGCTTTCCAGGGCTCCATCAGTGAACCAGGCCTAGGTCTTCTCTCCTGGTGGACCAGCAACTAGCCTCAGCTGGCTGGCAGAATACCCTGGCCTTGGGAAAGTAGGAGTCATCATCTGCCACCCAGAACCAGACTGCTGGGGCCAGGAGTGCTACCATGTGCCCCCCACCATCCTGACCCGCTGCTCCTCCAGCTGGACTGACACTCGGCTTTTTGCAGCGCTGGGGATGGAACCCAGGGCCTTTTCCATACCAGGCGAGCGCTCTGCCACCAAGTTAAACCCCCAGCCTCATCCAGTGGGCTCTAGCTTTTAATGACAGGAGACATTCAATTAAAGGAACAGTGGCATCATGGGCTGGAAGTCACCCCCTCCCCCCCCAAACTGGGGAGAACGCGTTGAATAGAAACCTCTTTGTACAACGACTTAAAAGACCAGCAAATGCCCTTGATCTAGGCTAAGTTGCCAAGCTGGGACAGCACAGCTACCTCATCTGTCCCAACTCACTTGTGGAGATAATCTACACGTCCTCAACTTGGGGGTTGCCAGACTGGGCTGGCCAAGTTCGGTGATTCCCTAACACAAGAGTGTGGCAGCCTGGGAGCGGCTTTGGGCCCAGGCTGCCAGTCACGCTGAGTTGGACATTGGAAGGCGGAGCTTTCTAGAGGAAGCCAGCCTCCAAGAGGAGGGCTTTGGTGGGGTAGAGTCGGAGACCAAGGTGGAAGGAAGGAGACCTGACTGGTCCTGGGGACGGGCCTCCACGGAGCCTGCCAGGCCTCCAGCTCAGTGATGGGATGTGGGGCAGCCTGTGCTGAAGGGGCCGAGATCATATGTGGCATAATCTTGGGAGCCATTACTTGCCAGTCTGTTAGGACGGGCTATGCCCATTCGCAGGGTGACTAGAGGGCTGTGACCCTGCCTGCCTGGCACGTTAATGCCAGGGGAGTGACACTAAAGTCACAGGAACCTGGAGACAGGACTTCTCTGCCGAGTGCTGGTGGCTCACGCCTGTAATCCTAGCTACTCAGGAGGCTGAGATCTGAGGATCGCGGTTCAAAGCCAGCCCGGGCAGGAGAGACCATGAGACTCCTATCTCCAATAAACCACCAGAAAACCAGAAGTGGCGCTGTAGCTCAAGTGGTAGAGCGCTCGCCTTGAGCTGAAGAGCTGAGGGACAGCGCCCAGGCCCAGAGTTCAAGCCCCACGACCGACCAAACAAACAAAAAAAAGTACGGGAGGCCGTTGGCTGAGGTCTGTTGCACAGATGGGCTACAGATGGGCTTGTGGTCACCGCGCCTCCGCTGACCTCCGCCCAGAAGACCAGCCTGGGCCCTTGAGAGGACAAACAAGACAGCCACACACAGGAACAGTCAGTGAACTCCGATTCTTATTTTTCTTTTTTCAGACACTGGTCTGGGATTCCAAGCGTGCACCTCCACTCCCAGCACATCTTAACTTTTTACAAGAAGAGATGGTTCTCTAAATCCTTCAACCATCAATGAAATGATAAGGCAGAATAAAAACTTTTTTAGAGGGGAGTGTTGTCATCAAAAATAAATATAGTTGCATGAGGCTGCTCAAGATCTGAACCAAACTAAATGGGGGAAGGCAGAGGCTAGGAGATTAAAGGGTCCCCCAGCATGGGTTCCTCCTCGCACCGTGGGTGGGCTGAGGTGGGGAGAACAGAGTGTCTGGTCACACCATCCTGGAGCAGGAAGCCATGCTGGAAGGGCCAGGTCCGACTCTGCTGATGGATGAGGGGCCGCTGTGTAACAGCAGCGCGGGGGCCGGGGGCCGCGGGCTGGGCAGTGTGGCCCATCCTTACTGCTGTAGCTCCTTCATCCTGTTCAGAGCGCTGCCCGCACGGAACCACTCAATCTGGGTCTCGTTGAAGGTGTGATTCAGGAGGATGGTCTCCTGGGTCCCGTTGGGGTGCTTGATGACACATTTTAGGGGCTGCAAGGTAAGAGGAAGTGTGGGTGCAAACTGGCAGGTGCTCTAAGATGGAGACCACATCTTGCAGGAGGGGCAGGGCACTGTCCTGGGTCATGGAGGCCAAGTCTGGGCCTGGGTAACAGCTCACAGGGGACCCCTGAAGCCCAGTGGGTGGCACTGGGGAGAGGCTAGCGGGCTCTGGGTTAATGCTTGGGCGCTGGGGCCCAGAGCTGGCCTTCAGCTCTGGGAAGGAGTTTTCCTGTCGGCCTGGAGACTTAAGGGCTCCACAACTGGAATAGAAGTTCACAGGAAGCCAGGTGCTGGAGGCTCACCCCTGTAACCCTAGCTACTCGGGTGGCTGAGATTTGAGGATCATGGTTCAAAGCCAGCTTGGGTAGAAATGTGTGACTATCTCCAGTCAACCAGCAGAAAAGCCAGAAGTGGAGCTGTGGCTCAAAGTGGTAGAGCGCTAGCCTTGAACAAAAGAGCTCAGGGACAGCACCCAGGCCCTGACTTCAATGCCCCGTGACCAACAAAGTTCACAGGAGATGCGGGCAGGGCCAGCTGCAGCAGGCAGGGAAGCAAAGCGGCTTCTTTAGCCCTACCCACCCATGCAGGAAAGCCCCGACCTCCCCCACCCCTGACCTTGCCAGGGGCAAAGTCCTTCAGGCCCTGAATGGTCAGCTTGTCCACAGGGTGGATCTTGTTGTAGTCAGAAGGGTCCGCAAAGGTGAGGGGCAGGAGGCCTTGCTTCTTCAGGTTGGTTTCTGGAAGGAGGAGTAAACAAGTGGCACTGCTGCCAGGGCTCCCCAGCGCTGGGAGCTGCCTCCTCTGCAGCCACTTGGGGCCCCACTGCTGTGACTGAACTGACAACAGCTGAGTCCCTTTTCGTCAGGCACCCGAGTAGGTGCGCAGTGGAGCAGATGCGTGGCAGGCCTTCCCACAGACACAATCCCAGCGAGGGGAATCCAGCACTCAGGTGTGCAATTTTGGAAGCACAATCAGCCCTAGTGGAAGCTGTAGGGTCGGGCTGGGGCAGTACCTGCCTGAGCCTGGGAGTGACAGTGGGCCATGGTGAACACAGGAGCTGCAGACGCAGCCTGAGAGCTGGGCACGAGGCACCAGGCCAGCAGCCCTGCAGGTGTATGACCTAGCTGTGCGGGCTGTGGATCCCGAGTGCAGGCTCTAGCTCACCATGGATCCTGGCGAAGCTCTTGGTGATGATGGCCCGGCCACCAAGATGGCGAGGTTCCAGGGCCGCGTGTTCCCGGCTTGAGCCCTCACCGTAGTTCTCATCTCCAATCACCACCCACCGGATACCATGTTTCTGTCAAGCAAGCAGGGCTGGGGTCAGGAGGCAGGAGGGCACAGAGGTCCAGGGCTGGAGGAGCCGGCCCTCGTCTGCTGCCCAGGGGTAGTTGAGCTGGCACTATCTGTGGTGGGCGGAGGCCACAGTGCAGGCATAGTGGATAGACAACAGGGCCAGCGCTATAGGCTCGGGGAACTGCCCCCACTCTAGAGCCCCCACTCTGCTTGCCTAGCCACCAAAGGGTGCCAGGCCTCACCCTGGTGGACCAGCACCTGGGACCATCCCTGGTAGCCTCTCTGCAACCTAAGCCTCATCCCACCAAGGTGGCTCACCTTGTAGTAACGGGCAGTGTCGGGGACAGGGCCAAACTCCTGGGTGACGGCGTTGCGAACCGAGTTGGCCTTGCCATTTTCAATGTTGATGGCACCGATGAGCAGGTTGTTGGAGATGTTGTCCAGATGCCCACGGAACTTGAGCCAGGGCCCAGCAGCTGAGATGTGGTCAGTGGTACACTTCCCCTTGACCTGGGGCAGGCAGGCACAGAAAACAAGGGGCTGGGATGCGGCTGGGGTGGTGAAGGAAATAAGCAGCTGTTCGGGGCAGTAGCTCTGGCACTGCCACAATGCTCGGGCCCAGGGGACTCAGGCAAGGCCATCACACAAGCTCATCAAAGGCCTTGGGCTGTTCAGTCTTAAAGTAGGACACGCTCTCATGGGGCAGGTCACCACACAAATGGGAAGCTTCTACAGGGAGGACAGGTGGAGTGTTTTGCTTGGTCATGGGGCTTGAACTCAGGGCTTAGGCGCTGTCCCTGACCTCTTTCACCCAAGGCTAGCACTCTACCACTGTGAGCCACAGCACCATTTCCAACTTTTCGTTTTTGTGGTACTGAAGAATTGAACTCAGGGCTTCATGTATGTGAGGCAAGCACTCTACCACTAAGCCACCTTTCCAGCCCCAGGACAGGGGCTTCTGCTTGCTAACCCTCCAGGCCTAGGCTAAGAGCTAGCCAGGGTGGAAGATCCGCTGAACTTCAAGCCAGGCATGAGAGGAGCTGGGGACACGCCTGGGAACTGGCTGGTGACCAATCAGGAGCTTCAGTAAGCACACAGGTTAAAGTCTGGCATGGCTACCTTAAAAATGGTGTCTGCCTGCCTTCCCATCACAGGACCTACCCACTGACAGCCCAATCAGGGACAACAGGAAGCAGCGACTTTGTCAGCCAGGGGTGGACGCCTCCTGGGCAGTCACACGTGTCCCTGTGGGCAGCCTGTGTTGCACTCTCCTGTCCACACCTGAAGGTTGCTGTCTGGGCTAGCTAGGTGCAGCTCTGCTCACTGGAGATGGAGGAGTGACATGCTGGCCCGTGGTGCCCTTTCCTCCACAGTCAACTTTCCCTCCCGCCCCGCTTCAAGCCCACACTGACCTTGATGAGGATCTGCAGGTCCTCCAGGTCTTTGCCATCCCACTTGTCAAAGGGCTCCAGGAGCTGCAAGCGCTGGCTGGTGGGGCTCACTTCCACCCGCTGCCCACTGCTGTCCTTGGGGGGGTGCTGGTAGGTGTCCTGGCCGGGGTCGAACTCCTGAAGCAAGGGACACAGACACGTTGCTCACCACAGCCTCATCCCCATGCGGGTGGCTCTCGGGAGCAAGCTTCTCGGTGCCCCAGAGAAAGGAGAAAAGAGCTCTTTTGTTCTCAAAAGCAAAGCCGCCCCTCGCCGGCTCCTGAGCGGCCACAGCCCCGTCGGCTCACCGCTCTGGGAAGCTCATCCGCATCGGGAGCCTCAAGCTTGAACTTCTTGCCATCCTTGCCCGTCAGGAAGTCAGTTTCCGGGTTGAACTTGAGAGTTCCTGCAATGGCCAAGGCGGTGACGATCTGAAACGGAGGAGGCCAGTTTGTCGATGAGCACCGAACACCACGCTGATCCTGCTCTCCAGAACCTCAGCCATGCGGAGGAGAGAACGAGGGGAATCTCCACTCTCCCTCCCCCCTTCTCCTTGGAGGCTGCAGCTGCAGAACTGGATACAAGCACTGGCCGCTGGGAATGCAGAGGCCTCGGGAACTGAAGGCCACCTGGTCCCGCGCTCTGCTGCCAGGGCCTGAGCTAAGCGTGCTCCCGCAGGGCAGGAGGCACCGCCGGGGCTCCTGACCCCCCTGGCAGGGGCAGGCCCTGGCAGACATGCTGCAGAGATGGCCGGTTTGCTGCATGGGCAGCGCCTAGAATGTGGAAGGGGTATCCCCTCTCTCATAGTAAGCACAGGCATTTCTGGAACACGCATAGAAACACTCGAGGCACAGGCCGGGTGCCAGCCAGAGTGGAGGCAAACAACCCACCAACGCTGACTCTGCCCACAGGAACATCAAGCCAAGTTCACTGAACCTAGAAACTAGGGCCAAGTGCCCTAGTGAGCATGTGCAGTTGCAGCTACTCAGAAGACTGAGGGAGGAGAGTCACTTGAGCCCGGGAGTTGAAAGCTCGTGTGGGCAACAAGAACAAGAAAGGAAGAGAAAGGCGAGAGGGAGAAGGGGTGAGGAGCGCTCAGGGGCGAGGGAGGCGAGCGCCTCGCCCACGCGCACAGCCACCCACTGTGCCGCATGAGCTCCTCGATGTGGGGAGTCCCAGGTGGCAACCGCTCACAGAGCACAATGCCGGAGGGTTGGAAGGGCCTGGCTCTTGACCGGCACTTAGGTGGCCCCTTGGCGGGCGGCAGAGCCCTGCTCAGCAGCCCCGGCTGGAGCGTGGCCGCGCGCCCCTCACCTCTGGGGATGTGACGAAGGCATGGGTCTCAGGGTTGGCGTCGTTGCGGCCGGTGAAGTTTCTGTTGTAGGAGGTGACAATTGTGTTCTTCTCCCCCTTCTTGATGTCCTTCCTGCAGGGCAACAGGAACAGAATTTGGGATATCTGGTGCTATGATGTGGCCCACCGTGGCCAGATGGGCTGGGTCCCTATGGCCCATGCCATAGCTCATGGCCTCTCCTGCCCCTCAGAACCACCAGCAGCGTCCACTGTGGTCTTGCTGGCTTCCCTGACCACTTGGGTTTCAGGCTCACCCACTCACTCAGCCCACCTGCCCGGTAAAGGCTGCCATCGTACGGCTGCCCCTGGAGCTAGGGGCTCAGGCTCGAGTCTCCTCCCTCCCCACCATCTTCCCTCAAGTTCCAGAGCTTTCACTCCATCCCCATGATACTCACCTGTCCCACTGGCCAATACAAGGGCCGCACGCATTGGCCAGGACGACGCCACCCACATCCCTCAGAATCTTTGCCTGCAGCAAGAAAGGAATGGGGACGGTCAGGAGCAGGCTGGTGGCGGGGGGAAGAGGAGGGCAGCTTTCAGGATAAAGGCTCTCCTGGCACCGGAGCAGCCTCCAGCACTGTGCAGCCACAGGCCGCGGCTTGTCCCACCCTGAAGCACGCTCTCGGAGGTGTGCTGGCACGTGGGCACTCACGTAGCCGTCCCGCTCGATGGTGGCGCGGATCTGCTCGGAGCCCGGCGTGATGGTGAACTGGGACTTGCACTTGAGCCCGTGGGCCAGCGCCTGCTTGGCCACAGCTGCAGAGCGCCCCATGTCCTCGTAACTTGAATTGGTACAGCTGCCAATCAGACCTGGCACAGGGTGGACAGGGGTCAGCAGGTGGAGATAGTGACCAGAGGGGTGATCTCAAAATAGATCCTTTGAGGTCGAAAGATCTGACCAGTGGGGCTGGACTAGAGACTACTGTTATGAGTCACACCGAAAGCAACCTCAGTTTCCAAGGACAGGCTACCCACGACTCAGCCATGAGTAAAACACGGAGTGCAGGGAGTTGTGCAGCCCATTTCACACCAACCCACAGATGTGTCTGTGACAGGAAACTCACACTAACAGGAAAAGTGCTTACTGAGCAGGGGCAGTAGGAAAGGTTTCCAGTGTTTCCTGTGTTCTTTATTGTTTGATAATCACGAGGTCAAGAGGTCTTTTTTTTGGTCAGTTGTGGGGCTTGAACTCTGGGCCTGGAGACTATCCCTGCGCTCTCTACCCCTTGAGCCACAGTACCACTTCCGGTTTTCTGGTGGTTAACTGGAGATTAAGCGTCTCACAGTCTTTCCTGCCCGGGCTGGCTTTGAACCGTGGTTCTCCGATCTCAGCCTCCTGAGTAGCTAGGATGATAGGCGTGAGCCAGCAACACCCGTCTTGAGCCACTTTTTTTTTTTAAAGAGCTTGCTTCTAATTAGGAGTTGAATTTAGAAGTGCTTTTGTTATTGGTTTTTTGGGGGGTTGTTTGTATGTTTGGGCCATAACAGGGCTTGAGTTGAGGGCTTTGTTTGCTAGGTGAGGTACTCTAGAGCTTGAGCCATGCCTCTAGCTTTTTCTCTACTTTTTTTTTTTTTTTGTCGGTCATGGGGCTTGAACTCTGGGCCTGGGTGCTGTCCCTCAGCTCTTCAGCTCAAGGCGAGAGCTCTACTACTTGAGCTACAGCGCCACTTCCGATTTTCTGGTGGTTTATTGGAGATAGGAGTCTCACGGTCTCTCCTGCCCGAGCTGGCTTTGAACCGAGATCCTCAGATCTCAGCCTCCTGAGTAGCTAGGATGACAGGTGTGAGCCACCAACGCCCAGCTTCTCTACTTTTTAAGATAAGGGCTTTTAGTTTCGCCCAAGCAGCCTGGATCATGATCCCATTGACACTTTCCATCACAGCTGGGATGACAGGCGCTTGTCCCTATGCCCAGCATGTGCTGTTTAGAGCTGATGAACTCTTTTGCTTGGGCTGGCCGGAACCTCAATGCTCTACTCAGCCTTCCTTGTTGGGCTGCCAAGTATGGGCTGCCATCTCCAGCTACGAGTTGAATTGACATCTTGTTAATAGTTTGCGGGGGCCGGCCTCAAACAGTAATCCCCTTAAATCTCCAGGTAGCTGAGATTATGAGAGAGCCACCGGTACTCTGCTGTTTTGTGGAGACAGAGTATAACTATGCAGCTTAAACTGGCCTTGAACTCCTGATCCTTTGGTCTCTGCCTCCCAAGTGCTAAGATTATAGACCCATGACATCACACCGTTGTTAGAGGAGTATTTTAAAATCACTCGCCAATATTCTCTACAATAAGCATATACGTGTTGTACCAAGCGAAGATAATTTTTTGAATACTAGGCCTGTTGTAGGAAGTGGCGCACAGGTGGCCGCACGGAGCTCTGGGGGAGCTGCTGGCCTAGAGGCCTGCTACAGGGCGAAGTGGAAGGGCTTACCCACTCGGATGTCCAGGGGCCACCCTTCCTTCTCTGCCACAGCGCCCACGTCGGCCACAGGGTGAGCCAGATCAGGAGTGAAGGGCCCGTTGATATGCGGCTTCAACTGAAAGACAAGGAGCCAGGAACACAGGGAGACAGGAGGAACAAGTCTTAGGGTGAGGACAGCCCGAGTTCACAGCTGCCCCGGGTCTGGAGGAACAGGGAGGTGGACTCCTGCTCTCCTAGCTCCTAGCTCAATGCTGCAAACACAGGGGCAGAGGGGAGGAACGCGCACAGCAGATGGCAGGCCCCCAGCCCTACCAAGCTGGCTGTCTCTCCGTACAGGTCCTCTCTGCATACAGTCCTAAGCTCAGAAGTGGCATGCCTACTTGGTGGTGGCTAGGTGGCAGAGGAGGAGAGTGACTTGAGGCTATCTATCTCCCAAACCCATCAGCTTCCAAATGACCTTACTATTGGCATCTTCTGACAAACAGACCACAGGACCTTAGATTTCACACAGTGCGGTAAGGGAAGGATCCTAGAGGCTGAACAGCCTGCCAAAAGGCCCTAGGGTCTCAACAGTGGGAATTCAGACTTTCACTGCTCTGACTGCCTCTGGCTCTTGGAATGCCTGCTAAGGTCCGCATGTCTTGGGGGGCAAAATTATGCTGAGGGCTTGCCCTCTGAACTGATAACAAAGCAGAGTTTGGTGGGTAAATCTTGGCCTCCACTGCAGTGGGATGAGGGTGAATGGACACCTGAGCTGTACACAGCGCCTCCACAGCACGAGCCGTGTGCCACTCCACCCTCCCACCCACCCCAGGCTCCATTCCCCTCCCATCAGATTCAGGCAGCAGCTGGCAGGGGACCTAGAGGGCCATAAGCCCTGCTGGGGGTACAGGTAGGATTTGCCCATCACCCAGTGCTGAGACACCAGGGTCCCTGCCCTCAGAAACCCCATGAACTCAAGTCCCCTCCTTACCTCGTTGAGGTTAATTTCAATCAGTTGGTCATACTGGCAGCCAGGGTCCGGCACCAAGTGGTCCTTGAATTCATCAGCTAGATTGGCAATGTCTGCAATTCACCAGGTGGGAAGTAGAAATTGGTTTTGAGATTTTCCATCCATCCATCCATCCATCCATCCATCCATCCATCCATCCATCCATCCATCCATCCATCCATCCATCCATGCCTTCTGGCTTCCCAAACCAAACATCAGGCCTCAGGCACTGACTGAGCCAACAGATGAACACCACCACCAGCACATAGGACACTGTCCCCAACTATGGAGGCTGTCTAGGGAAGGAAACTTCACAAACTGCAAATGACAGTGCTCAGGAGAGTCCCACAGGAGTTGGGGAATGGAAAAGCACCAACTGGGGCTCAAATCAGGGGAGGCTCCCTGAAGCTGAAGCACACAATGGTGAACAAGCGATGGTATGAAGAAGGGCAGGAAAGGGCCCTCTAGCGAGAACTCGGGCTCAACAGCCTCCACATCCATGCCCTGCCCCATGCCCCTCCCTCGCAGACTGCAGTTCCTCCTCTGAGCGTCAAAGAACCCAAGCTAGAAGTGGAAGGAAATTGAGGAACAGGCTGCAAAGGTGTTCCAAATGTTTTTCCTACTCCCCTTGCTATGGCAGCAACACAGAAGAGCTGCTTCATGTCCAGAGATTCCTATAGGGAGTGCTGGGAACCAAGATGGACACGAATTCAGTTGACAGCTCCCCACGTAATCTAAATTCCAGTCCTGAAACAGGAACATGCTGGATGCCAGACCCTTCCAAAAGGTGGAGAACGGCAGGCACCCTGCTCAGACACACTGCTTATCATCCACCCGCAGGACCCACTCACAGACGCCACAGCGAGTCTGCAGACAGCAGAGCAAGGAAAAGTATACAGCACGCTCACCTGCCCACAGCACCGCCCCGCCCAGCTCACCTTCACGGCCTGTCTTGCTTAAGTATTTCTTCATCCTGTGGTTGTACGGGAACACTGAGGTGGTGGCTCCGATTTCTGCACCCATGTTACAGATTGTTGCCATGCCTGTGGAGAAACAAGGCTGAGCAACCAGGCGTGAGCCCCAACATCTCCCAGGTGTACCCACAATTCTCCACTGGAGGGACTGGTAGTACTTCCGCTTGGCCCACAGGCTACCCTTGAGACCCAGGGTGAAAGCCAGGGTTGGTGAAGAGAAGCCACAAGAGTCAGCAGCCCAGCCGGGCGCTGGTGGCTCATGCCTGTAATCCTAGCTACTCAGGAGGCTGAGATCTGAGGATCGCGGTTCAAAGCCAGCCCGGGCAGGAAAGACCGTGAGACTCCTATCTCCAATAAGCCACCAGAAAACTGGAAGTAGTGCTGTAGCTCAAGTGGTAGAGCGCTCGCCTTGAGCTGAAGAGCTGAGGGACAGCACTCAGGTCCAGAGTTCAAGCCCCACAACCGGGCTGGGAAGGTGGCTCAGTGGTAAGAATGCTTGCCTTGCATGGATGAGGCCCTGGGTTCGATTCCTCAGCACCACATAAGCAGAAAAAGCCGGAAGTGGCACTGTGTCTCAAGTGGTAGAGCGCTAACCTTGAGCTGAAGAGCTCAGGGATGGCGCCCAGACCCAGAGTTCAGGTCCCACGACCGACAAAAAAAAAAAAAAAAAAGCCCCACAACCAACAACAACAACAACAAAAAAGAGTCAGCAGCCCACACTAAGTTCAAGCTCAAGATCGAGTCGCCTTGCTTGGCAGGGCAGTCGGCCGTCATGGCCTGACAGTAGGCCTGCGCAGCCACTGCCGGCTGTTACTGCAATCACTTTGCCAGTGAGGGAAACTGGCTCAGAGGCTCAAGGTCATCAGAAAGCTAACAAATACACAGCTCAAGTGTAGGTCTGCCTGCCTAGTATCCTGCCTGCTTTCAGCCACATGTGGTGGCAAGGAGAACATTTTTCTGAGTTGTATCAGTAAGAATGGACTCAGTTGGGCACAGGACAAGTGTCTATGGTCCTGGCTAACTGAGAGGCTGGGACAGGATAATCACCTGAGCCCAGGAGTTGGAGGCCAGCCCAAATAGCACAGTGAGACTGCCATGTCAGTGGTGGTGGTGGTGATGATGATGATGATGATGCTGTAGCTGGGAATGTGGCTTAGTGGTAGAGTGCTTGCCTAGCATGCATAAAGCCCTCGGTTCGATTTCTCAGTGGCACATACACAGAAAAAGCTGGAAGTGGTGCTGTGGCTCAAGTGGTAGAGCGCTAGCCTTGAACAAAATCAGCTCAGGGACAGTGCCCAGGCCCTGAGTTCAAACCTCCAGGACTGGCAAAAAAAAAAAACTATCTGCTGTTTGGACCAGAGCATCACCTGCACCCGTATGGCTCCCAGATGCTTGACTGATGAAAGGGCCTATTACCAGCTTCACCACTGAGCTTGAGCCTGGGTGGTGAACCCTTCAAGGATACATTGTTCTGGGGGCTGTGGCACACTGCAGGCAGGCACCTGGGGAACCTGGACTGGATCTCTGAGATTTGTCCCAAGTCTTCCTGATTTCTGCAGCCCGGGCCCAGGGGACAAACTACTGTCTCCTGGTCATTTAAAATCAAGATAATGAGTACAATTCACTTCCAGCTCAGGGAAGGTGCAGGATTGTGGCTGCTTTGTGAACAAAGTCCTGGCTTCAAGTGCGCATTCTTACCACCACTCGGTCCTCTCTGGTTTATACAAGGTAGCCTGGTGCTTAGCCAGGTTCCAGGGGCAGAAGCTGGCTTGGTTCCATAACCAGAGTGGCTCAGGGGGCCTAGAGCCTTGCTCCCAGGAGGACATCAACCGCCCACCAGATCTCTCCGTATCAGACAATCTCCTCCACCCCTCCCTGTCTGTCCCCAGCACCCACCCTGCCTGGATGGTCTTGGAGGAAGACTACTTGCTGCTCCTGCTGCTCAGCTGCCAGCATCAGGGCTGGAGCAGAGTGACAGCAGGAGGGCTGCCCTCCTTACCAGTGCAGGAGATGGACTCTACGCCAGGACCGTGGTATTCCACAATAGCGCCCGTGCCGCCTTTCACTGTGAGGATGCCTGCCACCTTCAGGATCACATCTTTGGGCGAGGTCCAACCGGAAAGGGAGCCCGTCAACTTCACACCAATCACCTGAAGAGGTGCGTAGCATGTCATCATCATGTGCCACGCTCCAACCGGGAAGTCAAGGAGCCACGCTACTCCCACTTCTATGTTATCTACTCCTCTCTCCTGAAAAGACTCACTCCTATCTACCGTCCCCTGCAGCCCACCCAGCCCCAGTCCTTCCTTCTCCTCACCTTGGGACACTTGAGCTCCCAGGGGATCCCAGCCATGACATCCACCGCGTCAGCGCCCCCAACTCCAATGCAGATGCCTCCCAGGCCACCACCATTGGGAGTGTGGGAGTCAGTGCCAATCAGAAGTACCCCAGGATAGGAATAGTTTTCCAGAATGATCTGAAAAAAAAAAAAAAATCCAAGCTCTCAAGAGAGAATGGAAGAAGGGCTAAAAGGGTGTACAAAGTTGCCCCTACCGACACTGAACCACTCCTACTGCTGTGTAGGGCCCAAGTGTGACCAGAAAGTACCAGCTTTGGGACTCACACCACTTATACTAATGAGCAAATTGGACAATTCCTACTGTATGGTTTGGGCCTGTAAAGTCTTCTTTTGCCTCAGTTTCCCCATTTGTAATATGGTAACAAAAATACCCACACTAGACGGGCGCCAATGGCTCTCGCCTGTACTCAGGAGGCTGAGATCTGAGGATCGCGGTTCAAAGCCAGCCCAGCCAGGAAAGTCCGAGAGACTCTTATCTCCAATAAACCACCAGAAAACCAGAAGCAGCGCTGTGGCTCAAGTGGTAGAGCACTTGCCTTGAGCTGAAGAGCTGAGGGACAGTGCCCAGGCCAAGAGTTTAAGCCCCATGACTGACAAAACAAAAACAAAAATACCCATACTAGCTACGGGCTGGTGGTTCATACCTGTAATCCTAAATACCAAGGAGGCTCAGAATGGAGGATCATCGGTCAAAGCCAGCCTGGACAGAAAAGTCTGTGAGACTTTTATCTCCAGTAAACTACTCAGAAAAATCTGGAAGTGGAGATGTGACTCCAGTGGTAGAGCGCTAGCTTTGAACAAAAAGAAGCTCAGGAACAGACAGCATCCAGGCCTTGAGTTCAAGCCCCAGGACCAGCACATTACCATATGCCTAGGATGTGGTGAGAGTCAGATAAAGGGCCTGAGTGGTTGGAGCAAGACTGAGAGTGGAAAGATGCTCTGCTCACACTCCCTTTTCACCGGTGGGCAAGTCTATCATGAGCTGGCTCCTGCCCACACCGGGCACAACAATGGCTGCACGAAGTCATGAGCTTCTCCACAACTAACCTGAAAAGCACAGGGTGCCACTGTCTCAGTACTCTGTGGGGGCTCAGAACTGATTTGCTTGACAGTGGCCTACAGTAAGGCACTCTTAGATCAAGAGGTGAGTGTTCCCCCAAAACCTTTGGTGAGAAGGGAACAGAGGTCCAGAGTCAGCACTCACACACATTAAACCCACTGTCTAGGCAATGGACACTTCAGAAGGTGTTCCCTTGCACCAGACATCCCATTTCCAGGACCTGAGTTCTAGTCCCACCACCTTGGGTACATCACCTTATCTCCAAGTCTGTTGGCTACTCTATAAAAACAGCTGACAAGTCAGCGGCTTAGCTCAGATGATAAAGCATTTGATTACTATGTTCAAGGTCCAGAGTTCAAACTCTAGTACCAAGAAACAGCTGATAACACTACTCCCTGGATCACTGTGATGATGTAGCTTAGACCCTTTTGCAACAAGGTCTTTCAGCTGTGACTGGGTGGCTCATCTCTCAGATGGAACTATGCCCAGCTATGGCGACCGGGAAGAACAAAGGAGATGAGAGATATGGAAGGCTCTATGATAATCAGGACTGAGGGTGGGCGAGCTCCCACAACATTACAGACACCCAGACCCAAAGGTCAGAAGACCAGCGTCTTCCCCTGAGCGAGGCTGGGGAGGACAGGCCACACCCTCACCCATCCCATTCTCTAGCCCTCGCTTGCCTCAGGCAATCCCTAAATGAAGAGTCTGGTCCATGAAGACAAGACCCGTGGCACTCCGTGTGACTATGTGGTGTAGACACAGGTGTACGACGTCTCTGGAGGCAGGGGTTAATGCAGATGTGAGGACGTGCAGCAGGCATCCTTCTGGTGACTGTGACCTCAACAGTCTATGGAAATGGCTGGGCAGATGCTTAACGATGGGGGGAAAGTGTTCTTTTTTCTTTTTTATTTTTTTGTCAGTTGTGAGGCTTGAACTCTGAGCCTGGGTGCTGTCCTTGAGAGCTCTTCGGCTCCAGACTAGCACTCTACCACTTCGAGCCACTGTGCCACTTCCGGTTTTCTGGGGGGTCAACTGGAGATAAGAGTCTCATGGACTTTCCTTCCCAAGCTAGCTTTTAACAGCAATCCTCAGATCTCAGCCTCCTGAGTAGCAAGGATTACAGGTATGAGCCACCGGTAAATTCAACTTCTATCCCTACAACACCCACACACACTAAAGACAATTCTTTCCCTATCCAGTCCCAGGCCAGGTGCTAGAAAGCAATAAGCAATTAATTACTCAGTATTGGCCCACAGAGCACACAGAACAGAGGAGAAAGCACTGGACCTACACAAGATCACACGCAGGGACCCCAATGCAGGGCACAATGAGGGCCCAGGAAGCCAGAAAGCTGAGATCCAGAGAAGGAAAACTTGGCCACCTGGGTGGAAGCAAAGGACTAGGGTTTGGTTTGATGAGAGCTGTTGAGACTGATGAAGGATAAAAACAAAGCTGCACAGATTTCACAGGTCCTTGGGAATGTTCTGCAGAGATCACACACCTTCCCTGGGAATGCTCTGCAGAGATCACACACCTTCCCTGGAAATGCTCTGCAGAGATCACACACCTTCCCTGGGAATGCTCTGCAGAGATCACACACCTTCCCTGGAAATGCTCTGCAGAGATTACACACCTTCCCTGGGAATGCTAAAGATGGAATAATTTATGCTACTAGCAAGTAACCAAGGCAAATGTGAGTAATTGTCATTCATAGTACCAAATTCTGGCTTAGAGCTGTCCAAAAGACCTGAGCCTTTGTACTTAAGCAGAATGGGGTACCTTTTATAACAATAAGCCATGACTGAACTCACCCAAAACTCTGCTGCAGAGAAGCTTGCTGTCCCCACCCCAAGGCTGCGTGCACTGGGATCTTGCCAGCACTGTCCTAGCAAGGTCAACAGTGTGAAAGGGCAGGGTAATCCTCCATTGGCTCTGGTTTCAGAGTGGGACAGAGCCAGGAGCCCAGGCAGTCAGATGACAGCCTGACTCAGCAACTCTTGAAGAAAGCAGAGGTCAAGGTCTGGGGTGGAGGAGGGGAGAAGGGTCACCTTGGAAAGGCAGAGCAGTTTCATGTTGGACATACAGGAGGGATGGCAAAGGGACACATACTCTTGGCCAATGTCCTCAACAGTCAATCACCTTGATGTAAGGAAAACACCTTCCTTCCTGGAAAAACACACACACGTGTACTTACGGAGAAAAAAAAAGATCAATGCCCAGTGCCGGTAGCTCACATTTGTAACCCTAGCTACTCAGGAGGCTGAGATCTGAGGATCACGGTTCAAAGCCAGCTCGGGCAGGAATGTTTGTGAGACACTTATCTCTAATTAACCACCAGAAAACTGGAAGTGGTGCTGTGGCTCAAGTGGTAGAGTGCTAGCCTTGAGCTGAAGAGCTCAGGGACAGCACCCAGGCTCAGAGTTAAAGACCCAACACACACACACATACACACATACACACACCACCACCACCACCACCACCAAATGAAACATGAGGAGGCTCTAGAGTAGCCTTAGGGTGGCATGGATGGTGATCCACACCCCTCTATTCTACAGAACCTCACAGCCGAAAGGAAGAGAGTCATGCGCTGTGCATGGGGGAAGGGCTCTCACATGACCGTGGTGACAGAGTACAAGGGGAAGGCAAAGAAATTGCTCAGGGTCATATCCTTGCTGCAAATGATGGCTTCACAATTAGCCAGGAAGGTGTCCCTGGGCCAGCAGGTTGACCTTTCTGCCTCAGTTTCCTCATTCGTAAGGCGTGGAATAACAAAGATTCCTTTTTCATAGTATCTTTAAAGTGCTACATCTAAACGAGGCAGATGGTTCACTCCTGTCATCCTAACTACTCAGGAGGCTGAGATCTGAGGATCGTGGTTCAAAGCCAGCCCAGGCAGGAAAGTCCGTGAAACTCTTAGCTCCAATAAACTACCAGAAAACCAGAAGTGGCGCCGTGGCTCAGAGTGGTATAACACTACCTTGAGCTGGAGAGCTCAAGCGCCTCCCCCCCTTCACCCCTGCCCCCCCCCCACCAAAAACAAAAAAAAAAGTTCTAAGTCTAGCACCTGACCCACACAGTATGCCCAACAGCTGTCAGCTACCCATGGAACAAGGCTTAATATTCGTGAGAAAAGCAACACAAAAACTAATATACTACTAGGGGCTATGGGAGCAGCTTAGCTTAGTGGTGGACCCGGGGTCTCCAGCACTGGCAAAAAAACCAACAGTTTTTAACTGTATTTTTTTTGTCTTTTCTTTTTGGTACTGGGGATTGAACCCACGATATTGCACTTGCTAGGCAATCGCCTTGCTACTTAGCTACATCCCAGCCTAAGAAGATGATGTTCTATGATAATTCACAGTTAGAAGGTACAGAAATATGTCAAACTTAGCCAAGCACTGGTGGCTTATGCCTCTAACCCTACCTACTCAGGAGGCTGAGGTCTGAGGATGGCAGTTCAAGGCCAGCTTAGGCAGAATAGTCTATCAGACTCATTTCCAAACCACCACCAAAAAGCCGGAAGTAGAGGTGTTACACAATAGCTTTGAGCAAAAAAGAAGCTCAGGGACAGCACCCAACAGCACCCAGGTCCTGAGTTCAAGCCCCAGAACAAGCACCAAAAAAAAAAAAAAAAAAAACCAGAAAAAGGAAAAGGAAAAAAGGAAAGAAAGGAAAATAAATATGGCAAAGGGCTGGGAAGGTGGCTCAGTGGTAGACCACTTGCCTTGCATGCATGAGGTCCTGGGTTCATTCCTCAGTACCACATAAGCAGAAAAAGCCGAAAGTGGCGCTGTGGCTCAAGTGGTAGAGCGCTAGCCTTGAGCTGAAGAGCTGAGGGACAGTGCCCAGGCAAAGTTCAGGCCCCACGAATGGCAAAAAATAAATAAATAAATAAATATGGCAGACTGAAAAATAAAAAAAAAAGGCAGGTGGTTGGAAAGCATTTTGCTTTTCACATGAAGAAAGACTAATAGGGGCTGGGAAGTTGCCTCAGTGGTAAAGCGCTTGCCGTGCATGCTTGAGGCCCTGGGTTCGATTCCTCAGCACCACATAAGAAAAAAGCCAGAAGTGGCGCTGTGGCTCAAGTGGTAGAGTGCTAGTGTTGAGCTGAAGAGCTGAGGGACAGCACCCAAGCTCAGAGTTCAGGCCCCACGACCGGACCCAAAAAAAAAAAAAGAAAAACATAATAAATTGATATGATAAAAATTAATCTACACAGGAAGGAGGAGGAGCCTGAGCGCTGACTGACGTCCTGCCGCCCCTGGCCACAGGCCCCTGCCTCGGCAGGCCTGGCAAGTGCTGTCTGGGTCCCCACGCACCGTGGCTGAGGCTCCTGCAAAGGCAGGCTGCGCCCTGCTTACCTGGTGAATGATGCCAGATCCAGGCCTCCAGAAGCCCACACCGTACTTGGCACCCGCAGTTGCCAAGAAATTATAGACTTCCTGGTTTATGTCCTGTGAAGACAAATCAATAAGCAGCGCGTTAGTGACACGGCTTACTTCTGGGAGCCCTTGCCATGCTCTCCTTTCTACCCCGTTCCCATGGTTCTGAAATGCTGGCTCGGTGAAGGCCGATCTTTCTCTTAGAGACCTTCTAAAAATTCCAGAAGGGTTTGGCTATGGACAGGCCCAGGGAGGAAGACAGAGGAACAGACACAGCCTGAATTCTGTGACAGCCGGCATAAGTGGTGGGTCTGAACAAGTCCCTGCCCTGCTCTGGCTCTCAGTTTCTGTATTTGTAGCAGGAGCAGGGAGGGCTAAATAACTACCAAAGGTCCCTCTAGCAATCCAGTTCTTGGTCAAAGTTGCTACTATGCTCGCAGATGTGACCAGGACAGAGGCTGAGGGACCAAGCGGACACCCAGGGCCAACTTTGGCTTCCACAGATATTGTGGCCCCATCCCAATCTCATGATGCCTTGTCTGTAACCCCAGCTGATGTTTACTGAATGCCAACTAAGGAAATGGCATCAGGCTAAACAGCCTCTCTATGCACATGGGAAGGCTACCTACAAGAGACTGCCATCAAGTCACTGTACAGATGAGAAAGACGCTCTAGGGGCTGGGAAGGTGGCTCAGTGGTAAAGCGCTTCCCTTGCATGCCTGAGGCCCTGCGTTCGATTCCTCAGCACCACATAAGGAGAAAAAGTCAGAAGTGGCGCTGTGGCTCAAGTGGTAGCACTCTAGCCTTGAGCTGAAGAGCTGAGGGACAGAGCCCAGGCCCAGAGTTCAGGCCCCAGGACCAGAAGAAAAAAGAAAAAAAAAAAAAAAGGGTGTCCAGAGTTAAACAGAGGAGCCACCCTTGTAGTTAGGGCTGCCCAACCAAAGACCCTGAGGCTACATCCTAGGGCCTCCTTCTGAAGAGGGGAAGGTAGATCCAACTGGGGGCTCTTAGCCTCGCATGCAGCAGGTGCTCAGTATGTGGTAATATTCTGATGGGCAGGAAATTGAAGGCTGTCAAGTAGGCCATGGCTCTGAAAAATGTGGGAGGAGCTATACCCATTCTACTTGTCTTCCTCTCTCCCATTAATGGGGAAGGGTGAGGTTAGCACTGGTTTAGCTGGTGTTCTTATCACCCATGACTCCAGCTTGGCTTTGTGCTGGATATTTTGGAGTTGTAGGCTGATGGTCAGTCCTGGGGCTTGAACTCAGGGCCTGGGTATTGTTCTTGAGCAATTTGGCTCAAGACTAGAGCTCTACCACTTTGAGTCACAATGCCACTTCTGGCTTTTTGGTGGTTAACTGGAGATAAAGAGTCTCACACTTTCCTGCTTGGGCTGGCTTTGAATTGTGATCTTCAGATCTCAGCCTCCTGAGTAGCTAGGATTACAGGCATGAGTTACCGGTGCCCAGCTATCAAACTGTCGCTTGAGTAACTAGGATCACAAGTATAACCCATCAGTACCCGACTTGCTTATTATTTGGAGGAAGGCACCTTGGGGGTGGCTTGACAACATAGTTTGTGCAAAGACACAGTTTACCTTGCTGTCTGTCTGTCTATCTCTCTCTATTATCTACCTCTCTAGTAGTGGTACTAGGGCTTGAACTCAGACTGTAAGCTCTCACTCAGCTGTGTATCTGTATGTGTACACGCACATGCATGTGTGTGCACTTGTTTTGGGGCTTGAACTCAGGGCCTTGTACTCTCACTTGGCTTTTTCACTCAAGGCTGGAAATCTACAATTTGAGCCATACCTCCACTTCTAGCCTTCAGCTAGTTACTTAGAAAAGTCTCATAGAAGCCAGATGCCGGTGGCTCATGCCTATAATCCTAGCTACTCAGGGGGCTGAGATCTGAGGATTGCGGTTCAAAGCCAGCTTGGGCAGGAAAAATCTGTGAAGCTCTTATCTCCAATAAACCACCAGAAAACTGGAAGTGGTGCTGTAGCTCAAGTGTTATGTTCTTTTTTTTTTTTTTTTTTGTCCAGTCGTGGGGCCTGAACTCTGGGCCTGGGCACTGTCCCTCAGCTCTTCAGCTCAAGGCTAGCGCTCTACCACTTGTAGCTCAAGTGTTAGAACACTAGTCTTGAGCTGAAGGGCTGAGGGACAGCACTCTGGCCCCGAGTTCAAGCCTCACAACCGGGAAAAAAAAAAGTCTCATAGATTTGTCTGCTCGGGCTGATTTCAAATCACAATCCTTAGATCTCAGTCTCCTGAGTAAGCAGGATTACAAGTGTGAGCCACCAGTACCTGACCTGCTCACAGCTGCTGCTCTACCACTTGATCCACACCTCCAGTCTAAAGGCCAGGGTTTATCTAAAGACGTGACTTGTCAAGGACAACTAACACTGACCCAGCACCACAGTGGATTCTAGTGTTGCAAGGGAGGAACTAGGCAGTAAGACCCACCAGTCTTAGGCAAGGGAGAGCTATGACTTGTGGCAGAGAAGGGACCTGCTACAAGTTGCACAAGTCAACGATCAATACTCTCAAAATCATCTGACTCTCCCACCAGCCATGCTTTCTTCTTTCATTTGGTTCCCCCACTGAAAATAATGATAGACAAAGAACTTTGGTTTCTAAGGCAGCCTCTTTCCAGTTAATAATTAACATGTTGGTCTTCATGTTTATAAATTAGTCACTTGTGAAATTGGGACTCAGAACAAAAAGCAGGAGTCATGTGTCTGAGTGCATCTGTATACACCTCCTGTGTGAGAAGGGCCCAAAAGCCTAAACTCAGCTTGGATCCCTTTCTAGCTGTGTCTGAACAGATCGTTCTGCCTCTCTGAACCCCACCTATAGATTTATATGTAACACCACCTATATGTAAAACTATATCCTTCTCCTGCTTAATTTAAACCTTGCTTGGTTTGAATGTCCCATACGATACTCATACTAAAATTCAGTTGCTACTGGAGCAATATTAAAAGGTAGGACCTTCAGCTGGGTGCTCTGGCTCTCACATATAGTCACAGCTACAGAAGAGGCTGAGATCTGCAAAACTGTGGTTCAAAGGCAGCCTGGGTAAAAAGCTTGCAAGACCTATCTCAACCAATAAAGTAGGTATGGTGGTGTTGGTTTGCAACCGCCTACCTGGAAGCATAAACAGGAAGACCACAATCCAGATATGTGAGATCCTATTCAAAATACAATTGAAAAACCAGAAAGGTGTAGGGAGTGGCTCAAATGGTAAAATATTTGTCTAGCAAGTGTGAGGACATGACTTCAAACCCCAGTAACACACACACGCACACACACACACACACACACACACACACACACACACACGAATTGGGGCTTTAAGAGTTGGTGAGGCTGGGTTCTGGTGGCTCATGTGTTATCCTAGCTACATAGGAGGCTGAGATCTGAGGATTACAGTTCAAAGCCAGCCTATGCAGGAAAGTCCATGAGACTCTTATCTCCAATTAACCACCAGAAAAACGGAAGTGGCGCTGTGGCTCAAGTGGTAGAGTGCTTGCCTTGAGCTGAAGAGCTGAGGGACAGTGCCCAGGCCGAGTTCAAGCCCCAGGACCAACCCAAAAAAAAGAAAGAAAGAAAGAGAGAGAGAGAGAAAGAGAAACATTTGGAACTGGACAAGGTGATATACACTTATAATCATATCACTAGGGAGGCAGAGACAGGAGGGAGGTATGTCTCTGAGTTTAAAGGCCAGTCAACACAGAGTGAGACTCTGTCTCAAAAAATAAAACAGCGGGGCGCTGGTGGCGCACACCTGTAATCCTACTCAGGAGGCTGAGATCTGAGGACTGCAGTTCAAAGCCAGCCCGGGCAGGAGAGACCGTGAGACTCTTTTCTTCAATTAACCACCAGAAAACTGGAAATGGCAGTGTGGATCAAGTGGTAGAGCGCCTGCCTTGAGCTGAAGAGCTCAAGTCTATGATCGACAAAAAATAAAAATTAAAATAAAAATTAAAAAATAATACAATGCCAGGTGCTGGCAGGTCATGCCTATAATCCTAGCCATTCAGGAGACTGAGATCTGGAGGATCATGGTTTGAAGTCAGCCTGGGCAAAAAAGTCTGCAAGACCTTCAATTAACCAGCAAAAAGCTAGACTAGAATGAAGGCATGCGTCAAGTGGTAGAATACTAGTTATGAGCAAGAAAGCTGAGCAAAATTACACAGCCCTGTGTTCAAGGCCTGGTACCAATACAAAAACCAAAATCAAAAACAAAAACAGGATGACTTTGGCCTGACTTTTCTGACTCACTTGCACTCTCCTGTCTTTCTAGCCTGTTGTTAAGCTTTTTTTTTTGGTCGGATACCCTGGAGTTCTCATACTCTGGAACTCTGCACCAAATAAACTTGAGTAGTATAACTTACTCAGTGCTTTCAAGAGTACAAGCGATTCTTCCCGCGGTCCACGTCCCTACCTGCCCTTGCCATCACACCCAACTCGTTCTACAGACCCACCAGTGAGGTCTTAGGGCCTGCAGATGTGGTTCTGTCTAGAATGTTCCTCCTCAGTTTCCCACTGAGGTCTCAGCTCATAGTTACATGCTCAAAGAGACTGTCCTTTCTCCTGAAAATCTGTGAGGCCTTTTTGATACACTCAGAGTCCTGTATCTTCCCGCCTAACAAATCCACATTGGAGTTACTGCTTTGTGACTGTTTCTTCATACCAGACTCTAAGAGCCCCGAGTGTCAGGCCCCCAGGGGCCTACTCAAACTGAACTCTGCACCTAGGTGTAAATGCTAAATAAACATTTGCTCAATAAAGAAGGGATGAGCTTTGAAATCCTATGATTCAATGAAGGTCATCTGTGGCTAGTAGATTCTGAACCTTCAAAGCAGGGGAGAAGAGCGTTCCCCCAGAATGAAGGCCCTGACATGTGAGTATAGTTGTTCAGAGGGCTGCAGAGGTCCCAGTTTCCTAGCCTTAGTAGCTTTTGGCCCCTGGCCTTGCAGGAAGACATGAAATATGAGTACCTATTCTGCCCCTAACACAGAGGCTGCCAGCCAGCAGGCAGGATTTTCTTGCAGCTGTATGGAAAGAGCTACCCTACAACCAGGACATTACAAGTGGGGGAAGGTGTGGAGAACAGACTGGAATGGGAAGACTGCCCGGAGTGTTTCCCAGGGGTCTGAAAAGCTCTGTGGGCTGTGTTGACCCCGGAGCACACTCTGCTCTGTGCCAGGCGGGCAGCAGCCCTGCCAGCATTCAGCTCTTGCCAACAGTTCTCAGCAAGGACACCACGCCCACTGCTGGAGGTGGAAAGCAAGGAGGCCTGAGGCTGGGAAGGAAGGCCCACTACCTCCAAAAGTAGCACCCACAGAGGCACCTCCAACCATGCCTGGGAGCAGAGGCAGGGATTGAGTTTCACAAGGAAAGGAGAGGAATTCAAGGAGAAAGCTATCAGAGCGGGGTGGCTGCCTCAGGGTCTAGGGAAGCAAAACCTACAGAAGAAGGGCCTCAGAGGAGACCATCAGCATGAGCACCATGAAGCAGGAGCTGGGAGCAGATCAGCCTAAGTAAGCACGCCTCTTGTGCATGTGGGACCCAATGGTAAGTTGCCATTACAGACAAAACAGAGCCCTCCAGCCTCTCTCTCAGGCAAGTCCCTGGGGTTGGAGGAGACTAGGCATGGTGGCTCATTCCCATAATCCTAGGTACTCAGGAGGCAGCACTGAGGAGGACTGAGGTTCTAGGCCAGCCTAGTCGAGCTCAAAAGACCCATTTCAATAACAAATTGGACATGGTGGTATAAACTTATCATCTCAGATATTCAAGAAACAAACAGGAGGACTGGGGGCCACACGGACCAGCATAAATTCAAAATCATCTCTCAAAAAAACTGAAGCAGCAGGCGCCAGTGGTTCATGCCTATAATCCTAGCTACTCAGGAGGCTGAGATCTGAGGATCATGGTTCAAAGCCAGCCCAGGCAGGAAAGTCCCTGAGACTCTTATCTCCAATTAACCACCAGAAAGCTGGAAGTAGCACTGTGGCTCAAGTCGTAGAGCACTTGCCTTGAGCTCAGGGACAGTGCCCAGGCCCAGAGATCAAGCCCCAAGACCGACCAAAAAAAAAAAAAAGAAAGCAAATTCAGCAGTGATACTCACTGGACATTATGTTGAAAAGGAACTATACAACTTATGGGTAGGTGTGGTTGTGGGTGTGGCTGTGGGGGGAGAACTGGGAGAAGATGAGGGCAGGGGTGACACTGTCTAAAAAGAAATGTACTCTTCACCTGACATATAATTCTAACCCCTCTGTACATCATCTTCATAATAATTTTTTTTAATAACTGAAGCAAAAAGGGTCAATGGCCTCGTTCGAGTGGTAGAGTGCCTGCTTAGCAAGCAGAAGACCCTGAGTTCAAATCCCAGTAGAGCAAGAGTAGAACTGCACAGGACCAACTTCTCCAGGGCACTGGCACGTAGCAGTTCCTGGGGTCTGCAGCACTTTTCTTTTCTTCTTTTTCTTTTTTTTTTGGGTCCAGTCATAGGGCCTGAACTCTGGGCCTGGGTGCTGTCCCTCAGCTCTTCAGCTCAAGGCTAGTGCTCTACCACTTGAGCCACAGCGCCACTTCTGGCTTTTTTCTTTCTTTCTTTCTTTTTTTATTGTAAAGATACTATACAGGGGGTTACAGTTACATCTGGCTTTTTTTCTTTTTGCTTCTGTGGTGCTGAGGAATCGAACCCAGGGCCTCATGCGTTCAAGGCAAGCGCTCTACCACTGAGCCACCTTCCCAGCCCAGCACTTTTCTAATGTAACAGCAAGTAGGCTCTTAGTGTGGGAAGACTCAAGAGAACTGTTATCTTCTTTAAACTGTTTTCTAACATCTTCACAATGACCAAATGTCATTTCTAGTATTAGAAAAGGGAAAAAACAAGGGAAACCTTCCGACTGGGATATGGCTCAGGGAAAAGTGCTTGCCAAGCGTGTGTAAGACCCTAGCTTCCATCCCCAGCACTATTTACAACAAAACTAAAGCTAATGCAAGCAGCCCATCAGAACCTGGGACGGTGTCCCACATGGCCTCATGGGAGGGATGTACTTCTCACCCCACGTCACACCCACCACCTGCTCCCATGCTGCCTCATGCTTACCTTGGCCCGTTTTAGGTCTTTCTCACCCCCAAGCTGGGCTTCAATCAGATGGTCGCAGTGGATGGTTGATGGCACGGCCACCTTGGGCAGCCCACTGCTGATGAACTGCAGCATGGCCATCTGGGCGGTAGCGTCCTGCATGGCCACCCGGTCAGGCCGTAGCCGAAGGTACGTTTTGCCCCGCTCGATCTCCTGGTTGGCAGGGTCATCCAGGTGTCCATACACAATCTTCTCTGACAGGGTCAGAGGCCGGTTCAGTCTGAAGGGGAAAGGGAAGAGGGAGTCTAGTAGCAGCTAAGTGGTCCTTGGCCTGCTCGCAGCTCCTCCCTCTATCTCCCCTGAGAAGGAAGTATACTGCAGGCCCTCACATTCCACTCAGTGTGGACAAATTGGCCCCGCTCTCTACTGTATCCCTAGCACACAATTCAGTGCCTGGTCCTTACTCATACTCCAAAATTATTTAATGGCAGCATCCTAAGGGACGACATTGTTGGATATGTCCTTTCCCACCCCTGATGCCTAATCAGTAGCTAGGAAGGGCGCACCTCATTACTCACTGCTCACCGACTACATTCCTGTAGTTTCATGAAACAACCAAGAGCAAACAGGCTTGGCGGGCAGGCGTTAAGAGCTCAAGCTTGCAACCTGAGACCCTCGTTCTTCTCTGAGCCCTCTCACTATGTCCTTGCGCCCCACTAAGTCACAGAGGACCGTGCCAGCATCCCCTATCCCCAGGCTGCCACCTCATAGGCTGGATACCTGTCTTCCTGCCACACTGAAGACGTTCCCAGGAATCTCACAAGCCCTGAGAAGTGTGGCTGGCGGCTCTCAAGAACAGGAAACCTTTCGCTGTTCCTGTCTTCCTGGACTCCATCTCCCTAGAGGTTTCCCCTTCCTTCCTTTCTAGGGCCAAAGTATCAATACCAGTTCAGTCCTCCAGGGGACCCAGCCCTTGGCCAGGATGCAATTGCCTCCTCCTTGCCTGCCCTCTGAACCCACTGACCCACCTCAATCCTAAACCTCCTACCCTAATACTCCCTGCTGCCCACACAACACAGCCTCCCATACCCCTAGCACCCCACTCTGGTCCCCACCATTCTAGGAAGCAGCAGAGTTACCCCACAGCCAACAGACCAAACTTAAGAGTTTGAGGCTAAGGGAAGAAGCATAAGACGAAACCAGAAACTCTTGGTTAGATCTGTTTCTAAAATAACTGTGGACCAGACAAATAAATGAGCAGCTGCCCCTGCCAGGCTCCGCCCCCCTACCCTGAGAGCAAGGCTAGCCTGGAAGCAGGGAGCGGTTAGCACACCTATGTTTTTGGTTATGTTGTTTTGTTTTCTTGAGACAAGGTCTTGCTACATAATCCAAGTTAGCCTGCAATTCATGATGCTCTTTTTTTTTTTTTTGGGTCCGGTCGTGGGGTCTGAACTCTGGGCCTGGGTGCTGTCCCTCAGCTCTTCAGCTCAAGGCTAGTGCTCTACCGCTTGAGCCACAGCGCCACTTCTGGCTTTTTTCTTTTTTCTTTTGTGGTGCTGAGGAATCGAACCCAGGGCCTCAGGCATGCAAGGCAAGCGCTCTACCACTGAGCCACCTTCCCAGCTCTCATGATGCTCTTGCTGCCTGCCTCAGCCTCCAGAGAGCTGGGAGAGACAGCTTGCCTCGCTTTATTTTGAAACAGCTTTATTGGGGTACAATTGGCATATAATAAACTGCATATATGTAAAGTATACAACTTGGGGCTGGGGACATAGCTCAATGATGGAGGGGTTATTTACCTGTGAAAGGCTCTGTATTTGATACTTAGTACAGGGGAAGAAAAAAATTGCTGACCCTATCCACCTACACACACCGTTCCCTCCTCCCTTTTGGTAACAATCCCTCCTACCCAGTCCCAGGGGGATCCACCTGCTACAACATTGAAGATTAGGGTTTCTCACAAACAGATGAGGAAAGTGAGGCACAGAAAAGTGATGTAACTTGGCTCTGGTGCCACAAAACTAGGTGTGCAGAGCTAGAACAGCAAGAACCTGCAGAACAGTTCATTAACTTCTGCTGCTAACTGACAGCCAGAAGCAGTGGGACCCTGCATGAAGGGAGCAGTTAAGCATCAATGCAGGTATGGTTGGCACACTGCTAGGAATGCAATCTCTACCTTCAGCCAACCTGGTCCCAGCCCCGTGGTCCCTAAGCCCTTGAAAGCACAGGGCCCTAAGGCACTGGCTGTGCAGCAACTGCAGCCCAAAGGGCAGTTCTAAGAATCTATGTAGCCACAAATCAGGAGAGACGTGCATAAAAATAGCACAAACCCAGGGCGCAGGGGGCCGTTCCCTCCTAGCAGCATCTCCTATGCTGCTGCGCTGCTGTGCCAGACCAGTGACTCACAGCGGGGAACACTGCCTGCGTCCCATGGCCAGGAGAGCTGAAAAGCAGCAAGGAGGCTTAAAACCCAGCCTTGAAGGCAAATGCCTGGAATGGGATAAATGACTCACCACTGCATTTCCTTGCAGAGGGACTGAGGTGGGAAAAATGAGTCCTCTATGTCTGTTCTTTGTTACTTGGCATGACAAGAGACCTAGTACCCCAAAAGAGAATCAGACTTCTTTTTTTTTGTTGTTGGTCATGGGGCTTAACTCTGGGCCTGGGTGCTGTCACTCAGCTCTCTTCAGATCAAGGCTAGCGCCAATTCCAGTTTTCTGATGGTTTACTAGAGATAAGAGTCTCACAGACTTTCCTGCCAGGGCTGGCTTTGAACCATGATCCTCAGATCTCAACCTCCTGAGAAGCTAGGATTACAGGCTTGCCTCCACCTATGATAGCCAAAAATAGCTCCAACAGACACTGCTAAGTATTCCCCCACTCCACCCCGGGGACAAAATAAGCCCTTGTGTCTCCCTGACGCTCTATGGCAACAGTGAAAGTGAACAACCCCTGTCTGCGTGCAGCGGCTACAAGCTCTAAGTCATAGGCCAGTGTTCCCAACCAGTCATGAAGGTTGGGAAATAAAACAAGCAAGGAAAATTTGGATGGAGCTAATTTTACTAACAAAATTAAAGCCTAAAATACTCGCAGTACCTTAAAGGTTGCTTTTGTGGTTGTTGCTAATGATTTAAAACATGAGCTCTCCTGATGTATGATGAAAAGGGTAGGAAAGTGTATTGCAAACAAAGGGAAAAATCCATCATTCGGGGGCTGGGAAGGTGGCTCAGTGGTAGAGTGCTTGCCTTGCATACATGAAACCCTGGGTTCGATTCCTCAGCACCACATGAGCAGAAAAAGCCAGAAGGGGCGCTGTAGATCAAGTGGTAGAGCACTAGCCTTGAGCTGAAGAGCTGTGGGACAGTGCCCAAGCCCAGAATTCAGGCCCCACAACCGACAAAAAAAAACATAATTTTCCCACTAAACCATGATCTAAGAACTCCAAGAAAAATTAAATATTGCTTTCTAAAGAAAATAAAGCCTTGCTGGGCACTAGTGGCTCACAAGTAATCCTAGCTACTCAGAAGGCTGAGATCTGAGGATCACAGATCAATGCCAGCCCAGGCAGAAAAGTCCAGGAATGGCACGGTAACTCAAATGGTAGACTGCTAGCCTTGAGCTGAAAAACTCAGGGACAGTGCCCAGGTCCAGAGTCAAGCCCCAAGACAAAAAAAAAAAAAGCCTTGTATTTCTCAGTCCTGACTGCACTGTAGAATCAGGTGGGAAACTGGCCAATGCTTTTCACATTTTCATGCTCCAATCCCTTGAAGATCTTGCTTTTTTTTCTTTTTTTTTGATCAGTTATGGGGCTTGAACTCTGGGCTTGGGTGCTGTCCCTCAGCTCTTCAGCTCAAGGCGAGCGCTCTACCGCTTGAGCCACAGCTCCACTTCCGGTTTTCTGGTGGTTTATTGGAGATAAGAGTCTCACAGACTTTCCTGCCCGGGCTGGCTTTGAACAGCGATCCTCAGATCTCAGCCTCCTGAGTAGCTAGGATTACAGGCGTGAGCCACTGGCACCAGGTCAGGGGATCTTGTTAATTGGCAGGTTCCCACTGGTGGTGGTGGTGTGGGGGAACCTTGAGATTCCGTAGTTCAACAGACTCCCAGGTGGGGGCAACATCCCTGACCACATGAATAGTAAGTAATCTGAATGGCTACTAGCGGGCTTGGAGATGGATGGTCTTTTTCCCAGGTAGTTCTAACTTTCATAAAGTTCACAAGAATGCTACAAGCAATGCCAGAGGCACTGAAGTCAGACAGATGTGGGCTTGAGCATGGGCCCTGCCAACAACAGATGTCAGACCTTAGAGTACTCCCCCAATATGCTGCTCAATTTCTGCAAAATGGGGAGGGGATGTAACAACCTCTAGGGTTATGTGTGTGTGTGTCTTGGAACTCAGTGCCTCTGGCTTTCAATTGGCTTTTTCATTCAAGGGTGGAACCCTAGTACTTGAGCCATACCCTCACTTCTGGTTTTTTGCTGGTTCACTGGAGATTTATCTGGGGCCCTACCACATGAGCCAGGGACCTTTGTATCTGAAAAATCTCATCCTGCCATCACTATTACCGTCTGCCCTAAGACTCACCTATACTGCCTAAGGGCAGGCACAGCAGCACCCCTTAACCATCCCCACAAGCTCCCACTTGTGGCCCTACCGTTTTCGAACAATGTTAATGTTCTTCTCTAGCAGGTCATAGCGGATATACTCATTGGGCTCAAAGTGGCTCATCGCCACCTTGGCCCGTTGGCACAGGACTGAAGCCACATGGTACTGCCGCACACCCAGGGCTTTCTGCAAAAAGAAAGACGAAAGCACTGTCAATGAATGGAGTTCTCAGGAGAGACCATCCCTGAGGTACAGTACAGCACGGTGAAAAAAACAGAGGAACTTAAGTGTCAAGAGCTGTTCTGTGCCTGCAGTTGTGGTTTCTTAAGCTGAAGCACAAATGACCCAGCAGACACAGAGCAGTCTACAGGAGATCGTGAGGATTTGTAGCAGAATCTCTGGGATCAAAGTCAAGTGTTACTATGTAAGTTGTATCAGCTGAAGGAAAGTCCCAAGGAGCCACAGAAGGGGATTTAGCCAGCTCTGCTGGCTGTGAAGGGAGGTCAAAGAAGGCCACATGTAAAAGCTCTTGTTCAGCCAGGCGCAGGTGACTCACACCTTTAATTTTAGCTACTCAGGAGGCTGAGATCTGAGGATCACGGTTCAAAGCTAGCCTGGGCAGGAAAGTCTGTGAGACTCTTATCTCTAACCACCAGAAAACTGGAAGTGGCGCTGTAAGCTCAAGTGGTAGAGCGCTAGCTTTGAGCTGAAGAGCCCAGGGACAGCACCCAGACAGACAGACAGACAGACAGACAGACACACATACACACACACACACCAAAAATAAAGCTCTTGTTCAGCTGTGAAGCACAGCAACTAGTCCATCTCACCTTCAGTTCCTTGAGTGTGCAGTCAAGACTTGCCGTGTGTGTGTGTGTGTGTGTGTGTGTGTGTGTGTGTGTGTGTGTGTGTGTGTGTGTGTGTGTGTGTGTGTGTGTGTGTGTGTGTAATAGGGCATGAACTCAGGGCCTTGCATTCATTTGGCTTTTTTTTTTTTTTTTGCCAGTCATGGTGCCTGAACTCTGGGCCTGGGCGCTGTCCCTCAGCTCTTCACCTCAAGTCTAGCGCTCTACCACTTGAGCCGCAGCACCATTTCCAGCTTTTTCTGCTTATGTGGTGCTGAGGAATCGAACCCAGGGCCTCATGCATGCAAGGCAAGCGCTCTACCACTGAACCACCTCCCCAGCCCCTGCACCTCTACTCTTAAAGGCAGTTTGTTATGTAGCAGCAGGTAAATGATTGCTAGGATGGAGTATGTTGTGAACTTTAACCTGTGGGTGACATTCACAGGGTAACTGTAACCAGGAAGAATAAATGACTCCAAAGAAATGGCAGCAGGAAAGGAAGAGCCTTTCACCTTCCAGGTGGCCTCTTGTCAAGGGATGTATTCTGTTTTCCTGTAGACTGATTTCAAGGACAAGGACACCAAGTGTCATTCATTCACAGACCATGTATCCCTCATATTTATAAAAAGATTAGCTATAGGTGTTGCACTTCTACTCTCAGAATAAAAATAAATGCAATTCCTTATTAAGCATGGGCTCTGGGACAAGCCCCTTCGAGCCTGTTTTGAAAACACACTGCAACAGTACAAAGCAACTGTTATTCCAGTGAGTTAAGTCAGAGGTGTGAACTTGGTATACAATGAATCCAGGATGAAGCTCAAGTCTCTCTGTCAGTCTGCTACTAGTCCCTCCTCCCTTAGCCTACCTTTCCCAGCACTCCAGCACTGTGACAGGTCAGACTGAGAGTACTTAACCCTACTGCCCAACTCAGTCCCACCATATACCTGCTATGACCCTGGGAAAGTTACCTAATGTCCCCAAGTCTAAGTTGACTGTAGTGAAAAGGGAGGTAAATTCTGTAGTGTTAACAACAAATGAAATAATCCACATAAAGTGCTTCCACATAAAGTGCTTCGCATGGCTAGCTCACAGTGCAAAGGTTCACTAGGCAGTTAGGCTCTATCTCTCCCTTCACAGAGATGAGGATGAGGGCGGTTCCTTCTCTGCCATAAGCAGCATGCCCCCTCCCCCCTGCTCTCTGCCTCTCTGTCTCCCTGTATCAGTCCTGGGGCTGGGCACTGACTGTGAGCTTTTAGCTCAAGGACAGCACTCTAACACTTGAGCCACAGCTCCACTTCCATACTTCTTGGTAGTTAATTTGAGATTCATATCTTGGACTTTTCTGCCCAGGCTGTGTTCAAACCATGATCCTCGGATCTCAGCCTCCTGGGTAGCTAGGGCTACAGGTGTGAGCCACTAACATCCCATGTGCAGTCATACTTTATGTTTAAATTTTTTTCACTTGATATTGTAAGAAAGCATTTTTTAGGGGCTGGGAAGGTGGCTCAGTGGTAGAGCACTTGCCTTGCATGCTCGAGGCCCTGGGTTCGATTCCTCAGCACCACATAAGAAAAAAAACTGGAAGTGGCGCTGTGGCTCAAGTGGTAGAGTGCTAGCCTGAGCTGAAGAGCTGAGGGACAGCGCCCAGGCCCAGAGTTCAGGCCCCACGACCAGACACCCCCCCCCCAAAAAAAAAAAAAAAGAGAAAAAAAGAAAGCATTTTTACCTTAGAAAAGCAAATGGAAATAATATTCTTGTTTTAGTAGTATATGTAGGATTACACAAAATTAGTTTCACTATGAGACTTTCATATATAAATTTAGATGCGCAGATCACCTTCACTCTCCAGTCTCGTCACTCATCTCCATTCCCCGCTTGCCCCATCCTCTTCCCCAACAACTGCCTTCCACTTTCCTGATTTTAAAAAAATGTTTGTTTTTTTTCTGTTGGTCATGGGCCTGAACTCTGGGCCTGGGTGCTGTCCCTCAGCTCTTCAACTCAAGGCTAACGCTCTACCACTTGAGCCACAGTGCCATGTCTGGCTTTTTCTGCTTATTGGTATTGAGGAATCAAACCCAGGGCTTCATGCATGCAAGGCAAGCACTCTACCAGTGAGCCACCTTTCCAGCCCTTAAAAAAAACCTTTTAAAAGGCACAAAATAAGCCAAGTACAGGTGGCTCACACCTGTAATCCTAGGTACTCAGGAGGCTGGGGTCTGAGGATCATGGTTCAAAGCCAGCATAGGCAAGAAAGTACTCAAGAGAAAGTCTTGAGATTTTTAGCTCCAATTAATCACACACACACACAAAAAGAGGGGGTGGGGGGCTGAGGATAGGACTAGTAGAGTACCAGTCTGCCAAGTGCAAGGTCCTGAGTTTCAACCCCAGTAGTGCAAATAATAATAATGCTACAAAGAGAAAAGCCTAGAATGATAAACAAAATTTCTACCAGTAGAGACAGGGCTAGAAATCAAGAAGGGAACTTTTTTTTTTTTTTGGGTCCGGTCTTGGGGCCTGAACTCTGGGCCTGGGTGCTGTCCCTCAGCTCTTCAGCTCAAGGCTAGAGCTCTACCACTTGAGCCACAGCGCCACTTCCGGCTTTTTTCTTTTTGCTTATGTGGTGCTGAGGAATCGAACCCAGGGCCTCATGTATGCAAGGCAAGCGCTCTACCACTGAGCCACCTTCCCAGCCCCAAGAAGGGAACTTTTTAAAAATGGATTTTATTTATTTGTTTATTGCCAGTCCTGGGGCTTGACCTCAGGCCTGGGCACTGTCCCTGAGCTTCTTTTGCTCAAGGCTAGCACTCTACCACCTGAGCCACAACACCACTTCCAGCTTTTCCTGTGCATGTGGTACTGAGGAATCGAACCAGGGCTTCGTGCATGCTAGGCAAGCACTCTACTACAAAGCTGCATTCTGGGCCAAATTTATTATTTTTATTTTTTGTTAGCTGTGGGCCTTGAATCTAGGGTTTGGGTGCTGTCCCTGAGCTTTTCTGCTCAAGGTTCTGCCACTTTGAGCTACAGGAACTTTTTATGAATATATTGTAGTGCATTAGGAGAAAACACACCAGAGCACAGAGCTTGGTAGCTGGACTCCAGGCAAACATCAACATGTGTAAGTAGGGGCTGGGAAGGTGGCTCAGTGGTAGAGCCCTTGCCTTGCATGCTCGAGGCCCTGGGTTCGATTCCTCAGCACCACATAAGCAAAAAGAAAAAAGCCGGAAGTGGTGCTGTGGCTCAAGTGGTAGAGTGCTAGCCTTGAGCTGAAGAGCTGAGGGACAGCGCCCAGGCCCAGAGTTCAGGCCCCACGACCGGACCCAAAAAAAAAAAAAAGTATGTAAGTATTACTCAGTACTCCTAAGATGAGATGCTACTACAAACCCACTGCCTGCCTGTAGCTTGAGAACTGCAGGCTGTTTTCCCACAACACTTTCCACATCTCCCTTCCTGGCCACTAAAGACCAGAGCCACAGAGCAGATCCCAAGCACCAGGACCTCAGAGTGAAAATGAAGCTGAGAAGGTCTCTTATACTGTGCATGAATGAAGGCCTAACCACATCACCACCATGTAGGTGGGCTGTCTCCACTGGCAAGGACTCACTCACTACCTTTTAGGACAGCCCATTTCACCTCAGAGACTTTGATGAGATCATACTCTGGTTCTTCTGGCCATGACCTTCTGCAGTTCATCCTTAGAGCTCTTAACCATCCAGCCCTTCCTAGCAGAGAAGCCTCTCCCAGGTGGGGAACACAGGAATGCCTGTCAGTCACCTCCCTCTGGAGGAGAGATGTCTTCCCACACTTCTGCTGTGGTTTCTAACCATTTTCTCCCACATCCTCTCCTAAGACTCCAAAGCCAAATAGCTCCCTCCTGCCGGCAGGCGATCAGCTAGCTTGGTTGCTATGCAACTGGCAGGAACAAAAGTGATACAGTCCTTCCCAGAGGCTTGGAAGGGCGTAAGCAGCTATCTCCCTCCAGTCACAGTCTAAATGGGCAGCAAAGGCGGCAGGGGTTCCTTTAAGGGGTTCCTGATGGATTCACTCAGCTGCCTAATTCTTTGCTGTTAGCTTCAGCAGCAGACTCCAGGCACACTGAGCTGCATACAAATCCTGAGCAGCAGCACTGCACCAGCACAATGAAGACAGGCCTCAGCTGTAAGCGCCACAGGGGACCTGTGAGCTCAGGCCAGGACTAAAGCTGCCTCTGTGTGACCCACACCTCTGCCGGGCTGGTATCTGGGGCAGAGGCAACCATAGTCCCAAAGAGACATACACCCTGATGTGCCACGCCGGGGCCAACTGAACTGTGTCCTGTATACTGAGCTTAGGGCACAGAGA